AACTTTTAGAGCTAATTGATATTAAAATCAATATTAAAATTTTGGTATAAATATTTTTTGTAAAGACAAGAAGTCTCACGCAGACATAAATTAGCAGGCTGCAGGAAATTCAATGTTTTGCTATTTCTAACATAATTTATTGTGTAATCTCTCTTTTTACATATTGAAAGCTGTTTGATACTTGTCAAAAATGCCATTCTCTTGCTTTTTAAAACTGTAAGATATGTGACTTAGGTAATTATATTGAAATTATTCCTAAATAATAAATATAATTAAATTTCCTTGTATCAAAATCTAATGTATATTTGTATTTTGAAGTGCGGCCCTGGACTATTATTTATAGGGCTGAGGTGGCCCTCTATACAAGTTGAGTTTGACATGCCTGGTCTACAGCATCGTCAGTAGCAATACTCGTGCTTACATAATCCTCCCATTAACATAAAGCCAAACCTGTTTTGCATCATTACGGAGTTGTTTTTGTTTTGAGCTGTGTGTTACTGGGTCGAGTGTCCTTACGAGCCAACAAAACACAAAGGGCAGTTCGGTAACAAGCCAAGGACAACGAACGCACTTAACTTCCAGGTACCGCACACGACGATACAAGTCTGATGACGGTACGCAGCAGTGTGCGTAAGAAGTAAAGTTGTCCCTGGCTTAACTAAATAAGCAGTACGCCACGCAGACGTATGGGGGCGTGGATGTATAGATCCACGTATTCTTGACCTTGGCACTAGTCACTAGGCAGCTTTACCCCTGGGGAAAGAGAACCCAGTACCCATTTGCTAGGAGGCCAGGTGGGCCCCTGAGCCGGTCTGAACGACATGGAGAAGAGAAAATTCTTGACCCTACCGGGACTCGAACTCCAACCCCTCGGTTGTGCAGCCCGTGGCCAGTCGCCATACCGACTGCGCTATCCCGGGTCCGTATTAAAAAAGTAAAGGTAAATCTGTCCCTGTGCTTAACTACTTAAGCACTGCGCCATGAAGACGTACGGGGAAGTGGTTGTACATATCCGCGTATTCTTTACCTCGGCACTAGTGGTCAGCTTCACGCCCCGGCCGCTTTACCCCCGTACCCAGTGACCCAGAAGTACGCATTGCTTTCTGCACGATTGAGTGGACCGGTGAAGCCAGTGGCTACTGGTACAAGGCAGGGGGCCGCTACTGTGTCCAGCACGACGTAACAGTTTGGCGGGTCTCAACTGAACGCAGAATGTCTGAACAAGAAGCAGCAGATATACAGAGAGATCGCACACGCACAAAAAGGCGCATATGTAGGATTTAATCTCGACAGCAAAGACGCCGCACGCTGACGTAACTTCTGCCATCTGGCAACATCTGTTTCCAAGAAGCGGCGTTGTCAAATTACACAAATACGCTAGACCTATATTAAAAAAAAACTCAAAACCTGCGCAAAAGGAACCGCTAAACCGTAAACAGCCATAAAATGTAAAGAGGCAGTTACCCCGCCGTGAATACATGGGAGAGTGGATCTGCAGTTGCACGCATTCTCAGTCTCGGCACCCCATCGATATGAGCGGTCAGATTAACGCTCCGGTCGCTTTATTCCCGGGAAGAGCACGCCCATAGCCACTGGATACGAGGCTGGGTGGGCTCCTGAGCCAATCTACACAGCAGGATAGTCGAATTCCCCCCCCCCCAAATATATACATATTTTGTGGAAAGCTAGAATTTCGACTCATATGTTATGGTAAGTAAAAAAAAAAAGTTAAGCTATCCCCGTAACAGGCAGTGGAGGCTCCCAAATTTTCTACACGATCGCTTCACAGATGGCGGTGAGGTTGTCAGCCTTACGCACCGGCCGGTTGGCCGTCCTTTACCCCCAGGAAGATTCCTGGTACTCATTTCTGTTAGAAGCTGAGTCGACCCCAGGGCCATAGTGCGGCTGGAAGGATTAGGTCTGTTGAAACATGCGGTGATCTCATCGGGAATCGAACCCGCGACCTTCTGGCTTGTAGCAAAGTGCCTCAACCAACTTTCAGAAATTCGCTGGATAACAACCGGTGAGTACCGAACGGAGAGAGCAGGAAGGGGACTCATGTGGCGAGACACTAAGCCCTAGAACTGGGGAAACCAAGAGGAAGCAGGCTTAACACAGAACTCTTACTCACTGATATACTGAACTAGCTACTTACTCGGCCGCGCCATAGCTCAAGCGGTTAGTCGCTGGCTTCCCACCGCGGCGGCCCGGGTTTATGGAACCCGAAGGTTCATTACCGTGTTCACAAGATCCCTCCACTGGTCCCTATCCTGCGCTAAATTTTAGCTTAGGTCGTTTATCCAAGGAATCCGTCCGGGTCCGAGGCTCTGTGTTCATTTTCGTAACATAATTATTTTCTACGGTGAGGAGTTGTAAGCCCCACGCCCAACCCCCCAGCTGGAAGACCACCTCTTGTCGGCTGTCCGCGACTGCTTATTCAATATATTCACAGCTTCTCTCCAAAGCTGGTGGGCGTCTCCTCCATCCGCAACCTGAGGACGCGCCATGCCATGGTGACAGGGACCCACCTAACATGGCCTAGTACCGTCAGAAATTCCGAGGAACCACTGGGGTAGTAGAACCCTATTATTTGGTCGTGGCCACTGAGCTGCGCGTTAGAAGACCGGGAGCCACGGAAGGAAGTTTTGGTAGGTAGAATTCGGAATGGAGAGAGTTAAAACCCCGAAATTCATTCGGAAGTATTTACGATGGTGCTGTACAGAAAAACAGGCGCCCGTAAAACTTACAAATCCTCAACGCAAATCTGTGCTGATACGAACTTTATTTGATTGTAACACGTTGTGCTACCTGCTTTACAACGGTTTCTTGCTTCGACCCTGAAGATGGAGGAGAAATGTTTCTCCGAAACGTCGGTTGACTTTCAACGAATTACACAGCGTTATATCCCTGAAGGCAGAACTTTTGTTCGGGCTGTCTCACGCGATTAGGCCTCTATTTAATTTTCCTTATTGAGGCATCTTGTTGCTATGGCTGCAACCCGGCAGACTTTTCTTCTGAGATGATGTTGACATGTGGTAACGGATACCCCACCTCCTTGCTTCTGGTTGCAGTTCCCTTTTTGTACCACCAGAGGCGCTCTTATTCCCACGCATGCTACATTCCCATGGATCCTTTTTATATTATGATTTTTTACTTTCACTCTCAGCCTCTGTTTGGCTGTCAGCTGTCTCGAGACACATGTAATTCCTGGGCTAACGTCAGTCAGACTGAGTGAAACAGTTGCCTTCGAACTTGGTACCACTCAGCGAACCGCAGCTTTGAAAAGAGGGGGAGGCTGTACTCCAGATGTGTTCTTTGCATGTCATTAGCCATGATGTTCACTTACTGCATACAAAATTGCATTAAGCTGCTACACCACAGTCAGTTTTCATTTTCCATTGTCTTGGTAAATATTCATCACAGGTTATCGCAAAATGAAAGTTGTAGACATACCATTTTTAACCTCTTTCCTTATTCTGAAAAACGAGCCCCGCTCAAAAAATGTGTTGCTCGCGCACTTTGGACACTTGTTCTAGTTCAACATGTGTCGCATCCGTCCCCCTCTGTGTACCTCAAATTTGGATTACCAATGAATTATTTAAGCAGATATTTTGTACGCTGATGTGTGTATACATTTTTTGGGGCCCCTATGTAAAAGAGGCTTATAAGACCATTTTGCTGCTTGTCTGTGTTTCCGTCTGTCTGTCCATCTGCAGTATATCCCTAGTTTTTTTTAAGGTTTTGGTCACGTGGCTGACTGTGTATCCCCCCACCCAAATTTTTGTTGGGGGGTATATGAGATCACTTCGATGTGTCCCCCTTCCGTACATCTTCGTTTCCTTTTGTGGCCCGTGTCCTATCAAATGAAAAGTATGCCATTAGTTCTTCCCAGAACTTATTCTTCTATTCTCTTCTCCAGAGCGCCCAGACACACTCTCACACCTACCAGCCTCCGAAACCAATGCGTACCGCGGATAAAACGGCATGAGCGTGAAGCTGACCACTCACCTCCATCTACCGTCGAGATGAAATTCCGCCATATGTCTTCATGGCATATTGGTGAACCAATTGAGCGCAGTAGAAACTTCATCTTTTCAGAAAAATAAAATTTCTTCGGCGAAACCCCTAAGTATTTCAGGTCACCGCCCTCCCCCCCCCCTCCACCACACACACATGCGCAGTATGAGAAGTCTCTGTGAAATGCTCACTGCCTACTGCCTTAAATGCCTATCTGACTGACATGCCAGATTTCGTAGCCTGTGAAAATTCTGAGTATGGTTTTCCGGTTTAGAACGCCGTGTAGCATCAGTGTAGTCTACCCTCAAGACGAAGGCAGAGGGTCCCTCCGTTACACTGTTAGCAAGCCATCCGGAAGACTGGGCACAAGACTCCTCAAAGGAGCTTAAGGTAAAAAAGGCAAAGTTATCCCTGTAACAGGTCGTCGACACTCCCACGTTTTCCACCAATCGGCGCACAGACGCCGGTTATGTCAGTCTTACGTGCCGGCCTTCTTTCACCCCCAGGAAGATTCCTGGTACTCATTTCTGTTAGAGACTGTGTCGGACCCAGGGCCACAGTGCGGCTGTAAGGATTAGGTCAACTGAAAAATCCACTGACATCGCGAATCGAACCCGCGACCTTCCGGCTTGTAGCATAGCGCCCCACCTCAGAGATAGCTGGTTTCTGCGAAATGTTTTAGCCACAAGACCACACCAAAAAAGCACTTCTCTGCAGTCTACGTGACTTTAATTCATGTCACCAGAGGTGATGCATTTGTTAAGGGCAGTTCCTGGGATTGCTAAATGTGTACCACGTAGACTACCTGAGAAATTTGAAACGCTAAGTTACCCATGCAAATAAAAGTCTCGCGAATTCCGTATCTTACGAGTCAGTGATGGGGTCTGTAATCAAAGCCTTCGAACGCTACATGTGGGGCGACCATGACTGTGATAAACGTTATCATTATGATTATCACGTGCGTAACACTTCGCCTTACTCACGTTAACTTTCTCGAGGTAGAGCTCTAACTCCCGGTAGGGGTCAGACCCGGATATGACTCCGGCGGCTCGCTCGTCTGGACGCATGGTGTCCATTGCGCCTCGTGACGTCATCGCACCGAACTCAGCATGATGGCTCTGCAACAGACAGGAAACCACACTTCCTGATTAGTGTGCAGTGCGGACATGTCTATCTCACACGCATCATTAATGTTATCATCATCGGAAAATAGCCATTTTAGAGACATAACCTTCCTTAGATGACCCGGTCTATTCAATAATTCTTTTCCGCAGTAAAGTCTTCAGCCTACGTCCATCCCCCAACCTGGCGGACCAGGTCCCTGCACTTGCTTCCCATACTGACAGGGTGGCCCAGTTACACCCCCAGCCACCGGGTTCCCTTTTAGTCGCCTTCAACTACTCAGAGGGCTACGGTGGAGGTATTCTAACCCGCCTCCACACGGGGATTAACGGTAAATAAAAAGGTACAGTTATCCCTGTAACAGGCCGTGGAGGCCCATAGGGTTGTGAGACGTCGAGACTCCCACATTTTCTTGGCAATCGGCTCACAGATGGCGGTGCGGATGTTGGCCTTACACGCCGGCCGCCCTTTACCCCCAGGAATATTCCCAGTACTCATTTCTGTTAGAGGCTGAGTCGACCCCAGGGCCACAGTGCAGCTGGAAAGATTAGGTAAATTGAAAAAAAAAATCCACCTCATCGGGACTGGAACCCGCGACCTTCCGGCTTGTAGCACAGTGCCTCAACCAACTACGCTACCGAGTTCCCCAGAATTAACGGTACTTTTTAATTATTAAAATATTAATTGCATTCGTGATGAATGTATGTACATTTTATTCTCTAGTCTAATAATGGCTGTCGTGATTGCATTAATTGAATTATTGTTGTCGGCACAATACAAGTTCGCATGGTTCGTCTTTTGTTTGCGTGCCTGTTCGCTCTGTTTCTTCCTTTTGCTCGTCCTTATTTATATCTGGCCTTTGGGCTGCTAACTAAATGAGGAATTAAACCAAATGATTATTATTATCATTACTGTTTACTACTACTGGTAGCAGCAGCATTACAATCGGCGCTATCATCTTATCTTATTATTATAATTATTATTCAAATGCTACAAATTGTCTTTGAATTTTGTTTTTCTTTATTCGCACTCCCTCTATAACTGGCCCTTGGATTGCTAAGTTAGCACGGAAATAAATACGAATTGAATAATAATAATAATAATAATACAATTTAGTGACGGTTATATGAAGCGAACTGCAATGAATACACTGTATTCAAACCTCTGAAGCTATGGGAAAAATATGGGACCATCTCTGGCATGGAAGATGGAGGCACGAGGATCCTTCGAAACACTGGTAACCAACTACCAAACTTCATGGTGTCATATGCCAGATGTTCGCCGTGGGAACCGGAGTCAACAAGTGCGAGAAATCCGAGAGAACTGCATTTATGAGGAGCTCAAGAATCTGTACTGTTCACTCGAGGTTACCGCGGTGATCAGATCAACGAAAACGTGATTGGAGGAGCATGCAGCATACACAGGACAGAAGTGCACACAAAATTTTAGTGGGGAAACCTGACGGAAAGAGAATGCATGGAACATCCAGGTGTAGAAGGAAGATTAATACAATAAGCCCTCGTTATGTCAGACCCTTATATAACGGACAAAATCCGGCTGTGTACAATTGTGAATTTTGGAGATGTTGAGGCACTAAGACGGATTTATAGATAGGATACTATATACAAAAGAAAAGAACCCTGATATAAAAACATTTAAGTGTGTTTCTATGTTTACTAGGTGTACAGACTATGTATCCTGTGGTGTACTTCCGTGAATACTCCTTCACTCGATTATAGCGGACATCGTCGATGACGGACACGCTGTTCCCCCTCCCCCATTAATCCGTTATAACAAGGGTTTCCTGCATTATCGTAAAGAAACAGGCTGGACGTGTGTACTGGATCCGCTTGGCTACAAGGTCCAGTAGCGGGATCTTATGAACACGCCAATGGACCTTCGGGTTACACAAAGGGCAGAAATATCTCAGCTAAGCGACTATTAGGTTCTCATACAATTGACTGTTTATGTATTCATAAAAAAAACTGTTTGTAAAAGCAGTGAGTCTGTAAAAAATGGTAAAACTATCCCTCTAAGAAGTCATGAAGGCCCACAGTTGAAAAGTCGAGGCTCCCACATTATCTAGACAATTGGCTCACAGATGGTAAGGCTGTCAGCCTTATGCGCCGGCTGCCCTTTACCCCCAGGAAGGTCCCTGTTACTCATTTCTGTTAGAGGTTGAGTCGACCCCAGGGCCATAGTGAGGCTGGAAGTATCAGGTCAATTGAAATATCAAATGACTTTATTAGGAATAGAAACCGCGACCTTCCGGCCTATAGCATAGTGCCTCAACCAACTACGCTATCGCGTGCCCGCAGGATTGAGGCTGTGTAAGACAGAAATGCCAGCCCAGCAGAGGAACTGGGACAGCGCCCACAGCTGCCTGTTCCATAGAACAAAAGATTCCTTTCTTGAATTCTTATCTTCAAGGAAGCTTTCTGCATCATTTCCCGCAAGACCAGTGGCAGCCAATAATTTGAGCCTTCTTCAGACATCCGGCTAAAAAGACTTCATTTGCTGCATTAGGGCTACAGTAAACCACGTGGATTCCTGCCTTCGCCATTCTTGCTCCTATAAACTGTTACTGTAACAGCGAACGTAATACCGTACACATTTTCTAAATTATCACTAACGCTTGTAAATAGCATGTACCACGCAACAGGGAGAAAAACGCATATAAGGTTTTGGTGCGAATGCCAGAAGGATACAGACACTAGGAAACCTAGACTTAGGTAGGGGGATAATATTAAAATTGATCTCACATAGATAGAACGAGGTGGTATAGAATGGACTAATCTGGCTGAGGATTGGGACCAGTGGAGGGCTTTTGTGAGCACGATAATGAACATTAGGGTTCCATAACATGTTGGGAATTTGTTCAGTGGCTGAACAACTGGCGGCTTCTCAAGAATGTGGATCTATACATCCACTCCCCCATACGCCTTAATGGCGTAGTGCTTAATTATTTAAGCACAAAGACAATTTTACCCTTATTTCAAACAGTGCGTAATTTTTCTTATCAACAATTATGGAACTGTACAATTCGGAATAGCACACACGTGCATATGCACTCTTTTGCTTAGAATGACCGATACTGTGACCTCCCAGAATATTCACCTTTCCTCCTGGGACACCTGGTATGTGTGTAGATGCAACAGAGGGTGAATGCTGAACACAGGCGACGGCCACTTCCTTATCACACGACTTTTTATTGCTAGTGGGGTGGGACTAAGTCCCTTGTACTGCGGCCACTTCTGGTCTATTGTACCAGCCCCAGATGATAGGTGAGGGCGATTGTGGAGCAATTGGTGGAATGAACATTGACAGGGGAGACCGAAGTACTCGGATAAAACCTGCCCCAGCGCCACTTTGTCCACCACAAATCCCATTTGACCAGATCCGGGATCGAACCCGGGCCGCCTCGGGGGAAAGCCACCGACTAACCGCTTGAGCTATGGCGCGGCCTATCACAAGACTTAGAATTTCGGTGATTCCAGGTTCATATTTCGACCAGCGAAAAGCCTGTCTTGTTTTATGGCTTGTAATTCTCCAATTCAGACAATGAGATAACTTAAAATCAACCACGACCTGTTACCTCCACATCCTACCCGCGTCATGATTCACAATTAATCGGCCGCTGTGCGTCAAAAAGGAAACCCGAGTCCCGGAAGCTGGGAGAGATCAGGTTCCAATCACAGCCACAGAAACAAACTATTCGCAGCTTTTTGAGACCGTCCTCGGTGTGGCCCAAGACACACGCCAATGCTACAGCGTTCAGAACCGTTGTTATGCAACGAGCTCGAGATGGTCGGATATGCCAGACCCGTTTCTGGGCACAGGCTCGGTAAACACGTTCCCGCAACAACCGATACACATGGAACAGAGGAAACGGAGTGTTCCTGCATGGTCCGAGCTGAGATATTACAAGCAAGGGACAAGATTAAAGCTTGGCAGTTGAGGGTCAGGGTAGTTACAGTTACAACTTCTTTATTACAACCGTCACAACACAACAATATCAAGGTTAGTGCCAAGTTTGGCTCTGCCACATGTTTCGGCTATTAAAAGCCATCATCAGGCAAATACATGGCTAACATAGATACACCACTGAACTGCAGTACTAATAAAATTGGATACAATAATATTAATTATATTAAAATACTTGACGTAAAAATACAATAAATTAGATTATATAAAACAGAAGTTATAGAATAAAACAAGAATAAAATTCTTCGATTGATGCTTTACATCATCGAGTCAGTCGTTGGTTTTTGTGATTTTGTTGCGTTCCCACGGACAAATTGGGCCTGTTGTTTACATTCCCTACAGAACGGACAATACTTTGTAAGATGAGGCACCGACTAAATAATTAACATTAATACTACTACATCTACATCACGAGCCTCCAAAACAGTTTATTATATATACACAAAATATAGTATACTCCAATTTGTCAGCAGAAATTTACGGCTCTCTGTTTTAAAAGTTTTTTTTCAAGTTGATTTTTTTTTCCCTTGGCACTACAGCCCCAGTGGGCCCAGGCCTACCTCCATGAACTTCCTCAAGTTGATTACTGTTACGATTTTGCTTTAGAACAATTGAAATTGCACACCTTGCAAAAGAGGAGATATCATCTTGATGCGCTCTTCCTTATTCAAGTTTATCGTGGTTCTATACTTTGCCCTTCTGCTTTGGAAAATGTTGGCCTTCGGGTCCCTGTTCGATATATCCGTGACTTTCCTATGTTCAATGTCCGTTCTGTTAGTAAAAATTGCCCCTCTGCTGGATGCGCTTCTGCTGCTGATGTTGTTTGTAGGGACGTTGACGTCTTTGGACCAAAGCTCTGTTGATGAAACATATCTTATACTGAACTAATTAAACTATTTCCATTATCATTATTTTTATTATTTTCGTTATTATCATTATTACTGTATGCTGCTCTATTTGAAACTCAAATTATCACATTGTCGCTTTGTCTGTGTATGTCTGCTTCTGTATCTTTATTTATGCTGACTGTGTAACTGCCGGTCACGGTAGCCGAGCGGTCTAAGGCATGTACTGTCTTCGCTCGCTTGGAAATCGGGATCGTGGGTTCGAATCCCACTCAGGACATGGATGTTCAGTTTGTGCGTGTGTGTGTGTGTGTGCGTTTTTCTGTGTTTGTGTACAGGTAGAGGCCTTGCGATGAGCTGATCACCCGCCCAAGGAGTCCTACCGAATGTGTAAGATCTAGAAAAGCCGAAGTGAACGGAGAAGTTCATGGAGGTAGGCCTAGGCCCACTGGGGCTGTAGTGCCAAGGGAAAAAAAACTGTGTAATTAATAAAGACTATCATTTTTGTATTTTGTTTTTTAATCATTTTTGTGTATTTCTCTATTCGTGCTAGCTTAGTAATTGGCCTCTGTGCTGTTAAGTTTGCACGTAAATAAACACGAATTGAATTGAATTATTATTAACTGCCAAAACAGCCATTCTGAGGCACAGCCTTCCTTAGAAGCTTCCGCCAGACTTCTCTCTTCAAATGAGTCACACCGTCCGGTTTTCACTTATTTAGATTTCGCAACCCCCAACAGGAGCTCCCTGTATTTAGTACTTGAGTGAAAGGGTGGCCCAGTTATACTACCAGGCACCGGGTTCCCTTTTCGTCGCCTTCTGCTACTCGCAGGGCTACGGTGGAGGTATTCTAAACGGCCTCTACATGGAATATTATTATTATTATCATCATCATCTCTTGTCACAGGTTTATTTCCTGGTATTCCTTTTCTTGAACCTGTGATGCACCTCACCACTCAGGCTTCAAGCTTCGCACTGTAGCACTTTCCGTAGTATGTGTGATGTTCCCAGGATAGCTGTTTTTTGCAGTGAATCTATGGAGTGCTTACCAAGAATTAGTTCCAAATATTTTCTCAACCCTCTCGTGACTGTACCCGTGGCTCCAATTATTATTATTATTATTATTATTATTATTATTATTATTATTATTATTATTAGTTTTGTTTTGGCACTAGTAGTAGTGTAACTTATCTTATTTTCTCAGTTTTATATTGGCTTGGGGACAGAAGAGGATATTCTCATTTGAAGGAGAAAGCTCTAGATCGCATTAAGTGGAGGAACTGTTTTGGAAGAGACTGTGGACCTGTCGTCTGACAGATTACTGATGAATGGATGAATACTGGCTTTCACGCAGAATAGAGTGCAGCTAATACCGTTTTACTTACACGATAAAGGTCAGCCTACGATATTGCATATATCCTTGCATGTCGCTGCAGATACCGGGTGACCCGGACTCCAGACGCAGCTCGCCACTACCAGAGCTACTATCCTAACATCTATGGTGCGACGCGCTACAATACGGAACTCACCGACTGCTCCCAGCCAGCTGGCCGCCGTGACCCACAGAGGCACTGTACCACTGGAACTGCGAGAGACTC